GATTCTCCTGCCTGAGCCTCCCGAGTAGCTGGGGTGATAGGCACCGCCACCATATCCGGCTAATTTTTATATTCCTCCCATCAAATTCTAACCTCACTTCCTTACATTTGGGTCTAGACTTTGTCCCTCCTGCTAGACAACTGCTTAAGGCCACTGCCCTGTGGTCTAGCCTTCACCCCGATCACAGGCCCCTTCCCTTCCCACACACTGTGGGCTGCCCTCTGTCCTCCCACTGGGCCGAGCTCCTGGCTTTTGGAGTTGCTTCACTCCAGGCCATCCTGCCATGGTCTAATCTGCACCCCACGGTCTACCCCACACCTCTTCCTCAGCTCTATCCCCTCCTTCTCTTGTTCCCCACAGCACAGCCTCCTCCAGGCCTCAGAGCTGGTCTTGACCCGGCTTCGACATCAGGTGGAGCAGAGGAGACGTCGGCTACAGGGCTTGGAGGACGCAGGCTCTTAAGCACCCACTCACCCGCTCTTCCCGCACCCGGGGTGACTCACGGCAAACCCACCTCCAGCCGCTGCTGGGGGGTGTCCTGAAAGACTGGATGCTCTCCCCAGACCTCCCCAAGGTGGTGAATTTGTGCCCTGGGACCCCAGCTAACCCACTTCTCTCTCTGTGCCTCAATGTCCCTATTTGAAAGCGGGGATGATCCCGTCCCACCCTGTCCACTCCCGATGAGAACTGGCCACATGGTGGTTATTTATACGTCCAAAAGAACATTGTTTTCCCAGTTGTCTTGATTCTTTGGTTCAGCAAGCGTTTGGTGAGCACCTGCTGTATGCCTGGCTCTGTGTTGGATGCTGGATTCACCGAGAGGAATTAAGGGAGAGGGATTTGGGGGATAGGGAATCCAAGGCTAGACCCAGATACAGGTCGGAGGTTAGACCCCCAGGGTAGACCTGAAGAGAAAAAAATGAGACCAGCCTGACCAACATGGAGAAACCCCGTGTCTACTAAAAATGCAAAATTAGCCAGGTGTGGTGGCACATGCCTGTAATCCCAGCTACTCAGGAAGCCGAGGCAGGAGAATCGCTTGAACCCGGGAGGCAGAGTTTGTGGTGAGCGGAGATCGCACCATTGCACTCCAGCCTGGGCAAGAAGAGTAAAACTCTGTCTCAAAAAAATAAATAAAAAAGAAGTGAGCTGACACCTTAGCAGAAAGGCTGACGTTAAACTCCTGTGGAATAGACCGTAGAATGGAAGGGAAAGAGCTGAGGTTAGACCCCAGCTAGTGAACTGAGGGGAGACCCCAAATGCAGAGGGCTGAAATGAGACCCCTGTGGAAAGATCTAGATCTGAGGGTAGATCCCAGTGGAAAGGCAAGGAACTTGAGTGTTCAGAGGAGAACTTGCCGCTAGAAAGGGCTGCTACGGAAAGCAGTGGTCTGTTTGCAGTGGAGGGTCTGATGCTATACTTCCCTATGAATAATATTCAGGTTGGACCCCAGCAAAAAATTGCTGTGGCTAGACTCTGTGCAGGGGCCGTGGGTGAAACCCCAGCGGAAAGTGAGTTTAGTCCCTGGTGGGGAGCACTGAGGCAAGACCCAGGGTGAAGACCCAGGCTAGACCATGCTTGAAAGGGCTAAGTTTAGACCTAATCTAAATAGCCCTGGGGAGGCGGGGTTGGGGAACCAGGGAGTGGGAGACAAGCCTGATTTTCCCAGCCTGTGGTGATAGGAGCTCCCTTGCCTGCAGTTGTGTGTGTGTGTGTGTGATGGAGTCTCACTCTTGTGGGCGCGATCTTGGCTGACTACAACCTCCGCCTCCTGGTTCAAGTGATTCTCCTGAGTAGCTGGGATTACAAGCGTGCACCACCACACCTTGCTAAATTTTTTTGTGTTTTTACTAGAAACAGGGTTTTCATGTTGGCCAGGCTGGTCTCAAACTCCTGACCTCTGGTGATCCACCCACCTCGGCCTCCCAAAGTGCTGGGATGACAGGTGCGAGCCACTGCGCCTGGCCTCATGTGTTCTTTTCTGTATTACCGGAGAAGAAATCAGAGGCCTGTGTCTCTAGGACCAGTGGAGGGCAGGAATGATGGAAGTCTTGCCCTCCCTCGACTGCAGGCCAGGAATAGAATCTGGGTCAGCAGGGTGGGGGGATGATCATTCCTGGGCCATATCCAGGCTGGGGGCAGGGGTTGGGCGGGACACCTGTTTCCTGGGGGGTTCAGGGGAGAGGCAGTCACGTAGCCATCCTGGCCATCTGTCTGCCTCCTGCTTTGGAGGTCCACCCCGAAGTCTCACCACCGACACTGACAGGGAAGGTCCAGCCACCAGTTCCCTACCGAGCGTTTACAGGAGTGAGGAGCTCAGCAACTGCTGGCCCCCTGTGTTCACCCTCTCTCCCAGAAGCCAGGCCCAGGCGTGGGAAGTTGCAGGGAGCCGGCTCCTCTCCCTCCCCTGGCAGCAGGCCTGACGGTGTCCAGCCAGGATTGGCAGTGGGCAGGACCAGTGGCACAAGGAGGGTCCCCTCCCTCCCACTGCCTGCCTGCAGAGAAGTAGCCCTCACACCGGCTCACACTCCATCACCTCCTGTCCTGGGGGGAGTGGGATGGGTGGGTGTAGTGATGGTGTGCCCTGGAGCGGTGTGTGCTCCCCTGTGCATCCATGGCAGGGCAGGTGAGTTTGTGTCTTTGGGAGCCCAGGACACCTGCCTGGTTCTTTGCAGTTCCCTTTTTTTTTTTTTTTTTTGAGACAGAGTCTTGCTGTGTTGCCCAGGCTGGAGTGCTGTGGCACGATCTCAGCTCACTGCAATCTCCGCCTCGTGGGTTCAAGCGATTCTCCTGCCTCAGCCTCCCAAGTAGCAGGGATTACAGGCGTGCACCACCACGCCCAGCTAATTTGTGTATTTTTAGTAGAGATGGAGTTTCGCCATGTTGGCCAGGCTGGTCTTGAACTCCTGATCTCAAGTGATCAGCCTGCCTCAGCCTCCCAAAGTCCTGGGATCGCAGGCATGAGCCACCACACCCGGCCCGTGGGTCGCTTCTTGACTTGCCTCATCTTCAGCCTGAGGAATTGTGCGGTGCAGCAGTTAAGGGTGTAGAATCTGGAGCCATATTTACCACCTCGTGCCTTGGTTTCCGTGTCTGTGAATGGGGCTCATAATAGCATCTACCTCACAAGATTGGTGTAAGGGTTGATTGTGTTAACATGTGTCCTGAATGTATAAAAAACGTTTGAGCATGCCAGGTATGGTGACTCTCACCTGTAATCCTAGCGCTGTGGGAAGCCGAGGCGGTGGAAGGATTGCTTGACCCCAGGAGCTGGAGACCAGCCTGGGTAACATAGTGAGACCCTGTCTTTTAAAAAAATGGAGGGAAAAAGCCTGGCGTGGTGGTGGAGGTCACCTGTAGTCCCAGCTACTTGGGAGGCTGAGGCAGGAGCATTGCTTAAGCCCAGGGGGTTCAGGCTGCTGTGAGCCGGGATCGTGCCACTGCACTCCAGCCTGGGTGACAGAGTGAGACCCTGTCTCAAATAATAATAAAAATGTGATGGCGATGCCAGGCATGTGGTCAGGGCCGCCTGTATGCATGGCAGCGGCTGTTATGATTATTAATGGGTGTCTTTGCGGTTGTCTCCGGCCTCCTTTGTGAGGCTGTGCAGGCACAGCATGTGAATTTGGATCTGGCTCCAGCTAAAACATTCTTGCCCTCCCCCTAGTTCTGTGAGTCTGTAACTATTTGTAGCTGTTGGCCCTTGTATGGCTGGGAGACTGTGCGTGTGTGTGTGTGTGTGTGTGTGTGTTGGGGGGCGGGGGCTGCTTCTGAAACACAGGCGCGCCCTCCGTTGCTGTCCCCTGCCTCTGGTGCTGAACCCGGAGGCTGGGGAGGAGGCTCGGGCTCCCTGCTCCTCCCGCCCTGCTCCCCAGGCCCCTCCCCGGGCCTCCCCCGCCTCCCGCGCGGCCTCCCCTCTGCCCGCCTCCGCCTCCTCCCCCTCTCTCCGGCTCCTCCCCCTCCCTCCTCCCTCGCTCCCTCGCCGACTCCCCCTCCCCCGTGTCCCTCCCCTCTCCTCCTCTCCTCCCTCTATCCCCTCTCCCTCCCCTCCTCCGGGCTCTCCCTCTCAGTCTCCGGCTTTTCTCTCTCTCAATCTCTCTCTCTCCTTCGGGCGGAGTCGCCCACCACTGCCAGCCGAGCGCTGGGGGGACCTGCTCCAGGCTGTAGCTGCAGGTAAGAGACCCCATTGGTGGGGAGGTGGGGGCGTGGGAAAAGGACTGGGTTACCCCAGGCGCGGAGTGGGGGCGGCTCGGGAAGCCGGGTGCTGGTTTCCCTGGGCTGGTTTATGGAGGTGGGGGGCTGCCTGGCCCGGCACGGGTACCTTCTGTGGGGTGGGAGTGCCACCAGCCACCCCAACACCTTCAGCCCTTCTGGTTCTCGGGCGGCTGGGAAGAGGGGGGGCGCCTGGATCCTGGGGGGCGAGAACACCCCGCCCCCACCCCGTCTGGGGCAC